AAGCCCACATCTCTACAGGAACGACAGTAGAGAGAATCACAACGTCCTATTGTATTTCTTTATATACAGAGTGTCCGAGGAGGAAAGGTCAATATTCTGGGAGGTCATAGTATCGGTCATTCTAAATAAAAATCCTGTATATACATGTGTCCTGTTCCGAACGGTTTCCGAGATAGAGCTATTTCACTGTACAGACGAGCAACACGACGTGTCCTCACACGAGCTGCAAAGTGCATTGGTGCTGAAAATGTATTACACTAGGTAAGCTGTACTAACTTGGTCACTTGAACAATAAATACGGATATTAGAAAGAGTACGCAATATCTCATTCGTATCAACAGTTTTGGAACTGTACAGTTCTTCACACACACACACACACACACCATCCGAGTACTTGAGGGGGTGAAGAACTGTACAGTTCCAAAATAAGAAAGAGATTACGTACTGTTTCTAATATTGGTATTTATTGTTCAAGTGACAAATTTGGTACAGTTTACCTAATACAGGTAAACTGTACCAAATTTGTCACGTTGGTTGAGGCACTATACTACAAGCCGGAAGGTCTTGGATTCAAGTCCCGATGAGGTCATTGGATTATTTTCAATTGACCTAATCCTTCTGTCTGCACTATGGCTCTGGGGTCGACTCAGTCTCTAACAGAAATGAGTACCAGGAATTAATTAAATAATTTTCCTGGGGAGTAAAGCGCGGCCGGCGCGTAAGGCTGACAACCTTACCGCCATCTTTGAGCCGATTGTCTAGATAATGTGGGACTCTCAACGTCTCACAACCCTGTGGGCCTTCACGGCCTGGTACAGGGATAGCTTTACTTTTTCCTTTACAGTTCTTCACAACGAAATGCTTATCAAGTCCTATCTTGTTACTTCGTCGGCACTAGTTCAAAATATATATTCAGACCCAACAGACTAGCTTCATGGAGATAAGCCCTTCTTGAGAAGCCGCCAGTTGTACAGCTACTCAAGAACTTGCCAGCATTTCATGGAACCCAAAGGTTCATTACCGTGTTCACAAGAGTCCTCCACTGGTCGCTATCTTGAGTCAGATCAATCCAGTCCTTACTGCCCCATCCTACCTCCCTAAGATTAATTTTAATATTATTTTTCTCGTCCCAGTGGTCTCTTTCCTCCTGACTCTTCCACTAATATCGTATATCCATTCCTCTGCTCCTCATTCGTCCTACATGCCCTGCCCATCTCATGCTCCTTGACTTGATCATTCTAATTATACTTGGCGAAGAGTACAAGTTATGAAGCTCCTCATTATGCAGTTTTCTCCAACCTCCTGTCACTTCATCCCTCTTCGGTCCAAATATTCTCTTTAGCACCCTGTTCTCAAGGAGCCGAGATAGCTCAGTCAGTATAGCGAATGGCTACGGACTGGACGACCGAGGGGTCAGAGTTCGAGTCGCTGTAGGGCCAAGAGTTTCCTCCACGCCGTCCAGACCGGCTCTGGGGTCCAACCAACCTCCTATGCAACGGGCACCGGAGGCTCTTTCCCTGGGTGTAAAGCGGCTGGGGTGTGAAGCTGACAAATCACCTGCAAATAGTGCTGAGTTCAGGATTACATGGTTCTATACATCCAGTCCTCCATACGCCTTCATGGCGTAGTGCTTAATTAGCCAAGCACAAGAATAACTTTACTTTTATTCTCTTTTCAAACATCCTCAGTCAATGTTCCTCCACATTAATGTCAGAGACCAAGTTTCGCACCCATACAGAACCACTTTTACAAGAAGTAGGCCTATACTCCATCTACTATGGGCACGAGGGAGCGTCGTTACGAGATCGTTGATAGAACGTTACGTCATCATTAGATTCTGTGTCGGATTTGAGGCTTCCAAATTGCTCCGTGAGGTTCGGAGAAACCCCAGGGTTTCGGAAGACAACATTGTCTCCATCTGCTGGGTGGAAGAGTTGAAGCAGCAGAAGCAGATGAGACGCTGAGCAAGCCGGTTTCTAGCTTGGCTTACTCTTTGGTCCTGAAGATGGAGTCAATATGTTCTTCTGAAACATCGGTCTTTCTACAAACTACACGATGTTACAGCCCAAAAGATTCTATTTTCAACCTACTTTCGGTATTCATACGCCGGTGGGAAATTCAAACATAATTACACGGGATTTTTCGTCCGTAATGTTGCCTGCACAAGGAACAACGTTCATTGGTTCGCAGAGTAGAAGGACTTTTGCATGAATTTTGAATAAAAATATTTGTTGGTGTTAAAACTTATATGAGTTGAAGGGCTCTTGTGATCTATGTTATCGCCATGTACCGAGGCTCTGCTAATAAAACATCACAAGGACATCCTCACAGCCATACACTGCTGATCCGTATTGATTTTTATCAACTAAACTCTACTTGCGAAATGACTCAGCAGCCGGCCTAGGTACAGTGGCTAACCCCCCTCTCTGCAAATCCCTGTGTGTACACAACCCTCCCCTCCCGCACTGTTCCCTGGATACCATGCTCGTGTCAACAATGCTTTGCCTGCCTTTCTAGTGTACTGATGCAGTCACGCCAATCTGTGCAAAATCGAGAAGGCAGTGAATCAGTAATATATTCCCCTACAAAAATCAATAAAATATATATTTCGGGCTGACGAAAATGTGTGGACATTATCTTCGGACGTTTTAAAATCTGAACGTGGTAGAATCTCTGCAATTCAGATGCTGTATCGATAAACCCTTTGACGTGTCAAGACGAATATACTCGTCACAGTAATACAAAAGTCGTTAAGATTATTGATTCTTAAGCACGTTAAAGAATTTTTTTCAGTTACTGAACTTATATGACTCTAATAACTGTTGATGGATCTGCACCATTCAACTCCATCTAATGCCGAAATTCAAGTGGAGATGTAGTTCTCTCGAACATGTCTTTGTGTACAAGGAAAAATTAAGACTTTAGTACCTACAGCCATTGTTGCCGGTCACGGTAGCCGAGCGGTCTACGACATGCACTGTCTTCGCTCGCTCGGAAGCCGAGATCGTGGGTTCGAATCCCACTCAAGACATTGATACCTGCTTGCGTTAATTCTGTGTTTGTGTTGTCATGTGTAAGTAGTGGCTTTGAGTCGGGCTGATCCCCCGTCCAAGGAGTCCTACCGACTGTCTTAGGATTGAGAAACTGAAGTGAAACGAAGCGTTTCGCGGATGCTCTGTGCTCCAAAGTGGGAACAACAGGGATAGAGAGGTAGATAGATAGAAAGAGAGAGAGACAACCGAATTTAAAATAAAACCAATACTGAGGTCTGCCTTTGTTATTAGGGATATTTATTTATTTTTCGGCAGTAGCGGTTTCCTTAACTCCTTTGCCGAAACAGAGACAGATATGTACGCCATTAAGACGGCTGCTTATAAAGCGTGTAATGATCTTTCTGTACAAGAATGAATTGTAACCATCAAATTATCACTGTTATTATTAGATTTATGGGGAAATGCGGTAGCGTAGTTGGTTGAGACACTCTGCTATAAGTCGGAAGGTCGCGGGATCGAATCCCGTTGAAGTGGAATTTTCCAATTTGCCTAATCCTTCCAGCCGCACTATGGTCCTGAGGGTGAGTCAGCCTCTAACAGAAATGAGTACCAGGAACATTCTTAGGGTAAAGAGCGGCCGGCGTGTGAGGCTGACAACCTTACCGCCATCTGAGAGCCGATTGTCTACAAAATGTGACAGCCTCAGCATCTCACAACTCTACGGATCTTCACGGCCTCTCATAGGGATACCTTTACTTTACTATTATTCGATTTCTGGTTCCCGTAGCAATGAATTGTAGGGAGTTAGTAAGTTGCATGAATGTAAGTTGTATAGTTCTATCGTGTCCACTGTGCCAGCCCAAAATAATTCGGTGTGAATTTGTGAAATATACAAAGGAGAAGGATTAAGGTTGACTATTTTTGCAAGCTCGTTGTGAGAGAAGTCATGAGTCGACCCCAGGGCCACAGTGCGGTTGGGAGGATTAGGCCAACTGAAAAATCAAATGACCTCGAGCATAAACCCCGCGACCTACCGGCTTGTAGCATAGTGCCTCAACCAACTACGCTACCGTGTGCCCCCGCCTAATAGAGGTATTACCGGGAATATTTTCCTGGAGGAACTCATAGAAAACAAGAAATGTTTCAGTTAGGACAGCCACTGTACTGGCAGAGACTGCAACCAGTTACCTCCCGAATACAAGGCCACAGTGTTTCAGCCAACAAGCTCGAAGAATCGCGGGATGAGTTTTCTCTGTGTAGGTAGTTGTTAGAATTAACCGATACCACATTCCTACTACATATCTAGATTATTTATATTGTGGCATGCCTGCTGAAAGCCAGAATTGTGAAGTCAGCATAGACAGCCGTTGCTAGGGAACGGTTCCGTAAACACGCCCGTTGCTAGGCAATAGCTCAGTAGCCGTCACGTGACGGCCGCAACAGACATGCATGCAACAACAGAAGAGCTGCTGGAAGCGGTGTTTTCTGTGCGGTCCATTCTGGGGCTATATAACGAGGACCAGCCGCCATTACATGAGACTCTGAGACAGCAGTTAGAAGAGTAGGAGTTTGGTGTGAGATGGCCGCCAGCCTGTGAGGATGTGAGCCCAGGAGCAGGGGAACGTCCACTGTTTAAAGATGTTACCAAACAGTGCAGTGAAGACCGTAACTTTGTGTGGGAGTGATTTCTAAGAATGGTCATGTGTTGTGTGTTAAAGTGTTCAATAAATCCGATTACCAATCCAAACCCCGTCTACATTCACACTCCATCATGAGTCAATTATTTTCAAAATCGGTCAGCAGAAGGAATCTGAAAATTTCAGATCCATTCGCCTACCCAACTGCAGAAACTTCCGCCCAACATTCCACGTATTAGCAACTTGATGTCATCTTTACCCACCCTCCGAAAACCCGTGCCAGCCTTCCCGCTAACAATGCATCATTAATCGCCCACAGACCTCACGTACGAATTTGGCTACATGCCTGAGATTTGTATCCTTGTTACAGGGAAGAGCTTCTCGCTGACCATAGTCATCAGTTCGACGCCTTTCCAGGTCGCAACGTATAACAAAGCGATCAAGGTGACAGTGGATGGTCCCAGGGAACCCCGCACAAAGTCCAGTAAGTACATATCTCTCTTTACTTAAGTGATTTTAAAAACGTACTACAAATTAATCGACTCTACGATTCTAACTAATGCACATAGTCCCTTCTATCGCGGAAGAGAATGGTAGGAGTACCTAGATTTTACTACAGGGACTTATTCTCGAAAATGTGACAGTAAAATTTTTATTACTTCCGAAATCTACAATGTCCATTGCAGTTTTTTACTCATGCAAAATTGCCAATTCCACCCTGAAGATGGAGGCAATATATTCCTCAGAAAATAACGTGGTCTTACATGTGAGAACTTCAAAATAAGCTTCTACTTGCTTTCTAGCAGGCTCCTAGGAGTCGGAATAGGAAATTCGCTATATCGACGAGGCTACAGGCTGGACCAGTGGTTCTCAAATTTCGGGAACCCATCGCAACACAATGCACACCCAAAGACCCTCCAGCCGACCGAGTAATGTGACTAGCATAGATTTCCGAACCCGATTTCGAGACAAAAATATTTATGTACCATTATTCCACAACAAGGCCTCGTGGACCACACCGAGGAATCGGTGTTCGATTTCAGACAGGGACAAGAAATTTATCTTTTCTCCAGAGCGGCCCTCAGACTCATTCAGTCTGCAATGGGTAGCGAGGACTATTTCTACAAGAGGTGAAACTGACTATCTCCACGCACTGCCAACGTTAGGAAATGGTGGAGCTATGCCTCTACTCATTGGCCGCGCCATAGCTCAGGTAGTTAGTCGCTGGCTTCCCACTGTGGCGGCCCGGATTCGAGCTCAGGGCTGGTTTTGTAGAAAAATTGGCACTGGGGCAGGATTTTCTCCGAGTACTTCGGTTTCCCCTGCCAATCTTCATTCCACCAATTGCTCCACAACCACCCTCACCTATCATCTGGGGCTGGTATAATAGGCCAGTAGTGGCCGCAGTACAAGGGACTTAGTCCCACCCTACTAAGAACAATATATGAGTAACTCTATTCCCCGGTAGGACTTCCTGGAGAATTCTTCCTTAACCTCCAGTAGACTCACTACAATGATTTGTCACAGTGTTGAGGAGTCTGTACAAGAAGACAATCCGGTAATTTCATTTTGACATCTTCCAGCTGTGTGCGTTCTGAATACTAAACAGTGAGAACAACAGAAGGCAGGTACAAGCCGAGCCTGTGTATTTAGTTACGTATGAAAACAGAAATTATTTATTTTCCGTTTTCAGGTTTGTTTGAATATCGCTGGCATTGTACTACTTGGGTCGCCCATCCTGCTATGGTTTCCAATATTGACCAAATACCCAACCCTTCTTTCTATTGGACAATGACCAATAATAGTGATAGTCACGACATAAAGGACCAGTAAGCCGGGGGTTTAAATATGATAACTTCCACAGGACTTGCTAGAGGCTCTGGCCACATGTACATTCCCGCTTTTAAATATTAATACTTGAGACAGGGACACGCTATGATTACTATTCTCATTTCATACGGGTAAGACAAAGGTAAAGGGCAAAGAAGCCGATCCCAGTGGCAGCGCTGTCTAAGGCATGAACTGTCTTCGCTTGCTCAAACACTGGGATCTTGGCTTCCAATCTCACTTATGACATGAATGTCAGTCTGTGTTTATTCTGTGTTTGTGTTGTCCTGTGCGTAGGTAGCGGCCTTGCGACGAGCTGATCAATCGTCCAAGGATTCCTAACGACTGTCTGGGCAAAAAAAGACTACAAAACTGAAGAAGAGGCTAGGGCCCAATAAAGGGCTGTAGAGCGATTGAATGACTGAATGAAATGGTAAAGATATCCTAGTGCATAATTAATTAAGCAACATGCCATGAAGACGTATAGGGGTGTGGAGTTATACCTCCACAATTCGGGATCTGGACATTAGTTGGAGGTCAGTGGAGATTTTCACGTCCCGGCCGCTTTACTTCCAGGGCAACAGCCCCCGGTACCCACTGAACAGGAGGCTGGGTGGGCCCCAGAGCCGTTCTGGCCTCAATGGCCAGGACAGACATCTCTTGCCTCTGTCGGGAATCGAACCCCGGCCGTCCAGCCCCTCACTATCCCATGTAACAGGGTTCCGCGTATTATGGATACCAGAGGAAGCGCTGTTTAGGAAATACAATGCCCTAAACCGGCCGAACACTGGGGTCTCGCGTTCTAATACCGCGGAGGGTACAAATGTAGGATTTGAGGTACTCACAGCGCTGATTATTCCTCGGGTTTCTTTTTCGATTGTGAAGTTGGAGGCGACATATTCCTCTCTTCGAACGGACTACATGACGTTATACCCCACGACACGGAACTCTTCAAGGAAATAAATAGTTGCCCGCCAGATCTGCCTTCTTAATTGTAAGGATGACAGGCCCGGAGGCCCTCTGCAGAAGAACTTGTACTTACTTAGGTCCAAAGCATTGTCATTCCACTTATCATTGTTGAAACAAAAATACAATGAATTTGTACTAGGAGCAATGTATACTAAAGTCTCGATCGCAGTATTTAATTTTTATATATTCTTGTATGAGCCGAGATAGCGCATTCGGTATAGCGACTGGCTACAGGCTGGACGACCGAAGGGTCAGAATTCGAGTCCCGGTAGGGTCAAGAATTTGCTCTTCTCCACGTCGTCCAAACCGGCTCAGAGGTCCACCCAGACTCCAATCCAACGGGTACTGAGGGATCTTTTCCCGGGGATAAAGAGACCGGGGCGTCAAGCTGACAACTCACCTCCAACTAATGCCGATGTCAAGAAAATATGGATCTATACATCCACTCACCCATATTCCTTCATGGCGTAGTGCTTAATTAGTTAAGCACAGGGACAGCGGCCTCCGTAGTCTAGAGGTAACGTTCCCACCTCATGACTCGTAGTACGCGGGTTCAAATACCCGGCGGAGGTCGTCGAATTTTTAAGGGCGGAAAAATTCAGGGAACAAGTCCTCCGGGAGGGACTTTAAGCCGTGGGTCCCGTGTCGTAGCTTTACGGCACGTAAAAGAACCTCATATCTCCAAAGGAGGCCACTGAGCAAAATTACGGACGTTTCCCGCCCAACAGTAGTCTCTAATACCTCTGGCAGATGGGGGAAGCATTATAGATACCTCTCAGCTAGTAGAGGCCGATCTCGCTGGCTGGGCGGGACTGATGGTAGGCACCAGTACCGGTAGGATATAGAGACTGATAAAATATCATAGAGGGAAGCACAATGGACCAAGACAGGTCTAAGTGCATGGGGAAACCCACCCTCTCCAATAACTAACTAAGCACAGGGACAATTATATATTGTTGTGAATACAGTGATTACTCAGTACCATTCAAAATTGATGAAAGGAACGGATTATTAACTATCGCTGTGTTGTCGAGGGTCACACTGAATTTTCCGCGAGTCGTAGTTCGTAACAAAAAAGTCCTTCGGCTTGTCGTAAAGGTAAGGGCTTAGCAGGTTTCTGCGGTAGATAAGGACGAGCCTCAACTCGTCTGTAGCGGCGCTAAGACTCGGAAGCGGAAATGGTAAGCAGTTACATAGAAACGAATTGCTCGGTATCCTCCACTCACTGTGCTTTACAGGCATTGCGGTTCTCTATCAGAGCACAAGAATCTCCCACATTCATCCGTCTGAACATTAACATTAAATTAAAATTAATTTTGACATCAGTTTAACGTGTGGCTAGACACGCGGTTTTGGTTGATTACTGGGTTCTTATTGCAAGAAACTGCAAATAATAACACTCACTATTCTACACAGTCCAGATATTATGAATTTATGAAAGGAATTACAGAAGAAAACGTCGGGAAGTAAAAGTAAAGGTAACCCTGTAACAGGCCGTGGAGGCCCATAGGGTCGTGAGATGCCGAGGCTCACACATTTTGTAGACCAGGCATGTCAAACTCAACTTGTACAGAGGGCCAACTCAGCCCTATAAATAATAGTCCAGGGCCGCACTTTAAAATATAAATATACATTAGATTTTGATACAAGGAAAGTTAATTCTATTTATTATTTAGGAATAATTTCAATATAATTACTTAAAATCACATATCTTACAGTTTTAAAAAGCAAGAGAATGCCATTTTTGACAAGCATCAAACAACTTTTCAATAGGTAAAAAGAGAGATTACACAAGATATTATGTTAGAAATAGTAAAACATTGAATTTCCTGCAGCCTGCTAATTTATGTCTGCGTGAGACTTCTTGTCTTTTGGTCTGTTGGAAAATTATCTTTACGAAAAATATTTCTACTAAAATTTGAATATTGATTTTAATATCAATTAGCTCTAAAAGTTGAGGGGCAGCACTTTGTGGCTATGGGGGCCGCATGTTTGACTCGGCTGATCTAGACAATCGGCTCACAAATGGCGGTAAAGTTGTCAGCCTTACGCTCCGGCCGCCCTTTGCACCCAGAAATATTCCTGGTACTCATTTCTGTTAGAGGATGAGTCGACCCCAGGGCCATAGTGCGGCTGGAAGGATTAGGTCAATTGAAAAATACAATAACTTCATCGCGAATCGAACCCGCGACCTTCCGGCTTGTAACAGAATGCCTCAACCACCTGCCGCCGCGCACACCCATATCGGGAAGTAGGATGATAGAAATAGCATATGAGTAAAATAAAGCTACGTGTACCTAGCGACTGGGTGGAAGAAACTGGGGTGGCGTGGGGGGTTGTGCAATGCAATGTTTCAATGCAGCGAAAGCAACAGACAAAATCTGCATGTGGCTGTACAATCTGTAACACTGTAAAGGAGCTTGACAGCCCCTGACACCGAGGTATAGTACCTTGGTTCTGGAACCGGAAGGCCGGCTGGTAACCGGAAATATTCGTAATTTGATTTGAGCGCATACCTGACGGTGCCATCTGTTTGAAACAAATCAAACAGGAAAATTGTGAAGGAAAAAAGCCTGCTGTTTGCGTTTGGAGTCTGTTTCTCTCCGAGAAGCAAGAATTTCTCGAAATGCACCGCTCACGGTAACACAAAGTGTTACAACTTCATTACTCGCAAGCAAGGGGCAATTT